TTTGTCTTGAGTATCATTTATGACACTCGATATTTGTTGAGGTTATTGATTTATTTATATCGAGGGAATTTCCCATGTAAGAAAGAAAGAAACACTAAAAATGATGCTTAGCTCGAGTGCATAAAACTACCGAGTGCACATATTATGATAAGACGTTTGTGGCAAGTTCAATGAAATTGATAGGCAGTCAATATGGTAATGGCAGCGCCGCGAAAGCAGTCACCGCGGCGTTGTCAGTTGAAAACTGAAAAAAATGTAGGTAGWTAATAAAAATAACTAAATCCAATTACATTATTTATTATTCAAGTTCAGTGTAATATATTTTTAGATTTCTTCTATACAATAACAGTGATAATAAATATATGATAAAATATTATTAAAGTTGTATATTTTATGTTTGTAATAATGTTCCAACATAGAGTCATATTAACGCAGAAAAATATACAGTTCATATTAGTATAGCTATATATATATAATATATATGTCTATATGATAAATAATAAAAATAAAATGAATACAATAACAATGATAATAATTTGAAATAGAATAAATACAAATCAACTATAATATAAATAGTTTTTCAATTTATAATATTATGTAGGTAGTATGAACTTATGAAGTTATTAAGGTATCTAAAGTCATTAATAGTAAAAAGTTCTTCGATTCCATAAATAGGTAAATAAATAAAATAAAAAATAAAATAAGTAATAGACGATAGTAAAATTTTTTAATGTCACAAACTTTAATTCCTATACGTATAATTAATATACTATACTTAATCGTGATCAATTACATTTTATACAAAAGCAGCCACTCCACAATAATAATAATCAGATTTTAATAATTTATTAATTATAAGTTTAATGACAACTTTGTACTATGAATTTTGTTAAGTAACATGAAATTCGATTTTGACTATGTCTGTATCTATCAATATTTTTTCAAAAACTATTGGAATGATTTGTATAACATAATAAAATACGTTTATTTAGGATAGGTACCTACTACCTATCAATTATAAAAAAGGTTAGTAGACTGATGTACAATTTATGTGTTAAGTGGTATTAATTATAATTCTTTAGGATGTATGAAGTATACATACATTAAATTGATTTCTTCGTAATTGTAATACACTTTTTACATCGTCCTACTTATGATTAATAAAGAAAACAAGTTATAATAATATTTATAACTAATAATAAGTAATAACTAACACTTATGATTTATAATAAAATATCATAATAGTAACAACAGTTATAAGCAGTGTTAAATCCAGGTATACTTCAGGGGGGGGGGGCGAATGCCCTCTGAAATTTCTTTCGCTCCTCCTGACAAATACAACTTTCTGACTTTCAACAAAATGTACTTATTTATTAAATGCACAATACTAATTTAAATATAAATAATTAATAGGTTTCTAATTTATTTTGTAATTTTTTAAATATTTATAATTTCTGAATTGCAATAAATAATAATAATAGGTAATACGATTTATAATGTGTGACAACCTTAGATTGATTTAAAAATTTGTTTTGTAGATTTATATAAATATGAAATATCTAAATTATAAATCGTAATAAGAATAACTACCTATTAATAGATATAATTCATAATACTAAAATGACGTATCACCGTTGACCAATGAAAAAAAA